TATATATTAAATATATTTATATGTAATATAAATTATATGAATGTAAATATATACATAGTTTCAAAATATATACTGCATGTGTCTGTCTTTATATATACATAATAAATATACACAGTACACACATATTTTTATTTTGGATGCGATTAATCAACATTAATCGTTGCCCAGCACTGAAAAAAAATATAGAAATAAAAAAAAATAGTTTTAATGTTATTCAAATGAGTTGAAATCATTTTTATGTTAAATAGTAATTTAATTAAAAATAGTAATGTTTAATACTAATATCATTTTAAAAAGATAAATAATATACATTAAAAATAAATTTCAATGTAATTTAATGGTAGTTCAAATAATTTTAATATTAAATAATAATGCCATTTAAATAATAGTAATGTGTTCAAATACTAAATTGTAACCAAATGTATGACTAGATTTTGCCAACAAACACATTCGTAAGGAGAGACCGGAGGATTTGGATGTTCCTGCTGCATTGGCTGATTTTATCCATCAGCAGAGAACAAAAGAGCATGTGGACGACATGTAAGTCCAGATTTATGTGATTCGTTCTGTTTAAAGAGGTCCATTGTGTGTTTGTTAGTTATTTTACATCAGTGTTTAATATTAGTCTTGTTTTAAATGGATTGTAATGCTGTTTCCCAGGTTTTCTCACCCTTATCAATATGAATTGGATCATCTGGTCATGCCGGAGAGTCTGAAGTGTAAACCTGATGTCCAGGTAAATGTCTTAATCTGTTTTCTTTTCAGGAACTGTGATGAGTGTTTTCAATCATTGATATATTTTCTTTGTGTTTTAGATGTATAAATCTCTTGCCGAGTCCACTTGTCAATTTATCAACACATTAGATGACCTTGTTGCTTTGAATGAGAAGTTAGCCAAGATGTCTGAGTTCGCTGTGGACCTGGAGGTATGACTGCTTCAGGTTTTCATGATGCTGTTTAGTCGTGTATCACTTTAGGTGTTTAATTCGTACAAATTCTCTGTTTACAGCATCATTCCTACAGAAGCTTTCTGGGAATCACGTGTCTGATGCAGATATCAACACGAGAGGAGGATTTCATCATAGACACGCTAGAACTGCGCAGTGAAATGTATATCTTAAACGAGACTTTCACCGACCCTGCCATCGTGAAGGTGATTGACTTTGATACTATGCTCCTCTAATAGATTTACCCGCTTAGATTTGTGTGTGTGTGTGAAAATGAAGCTAAAATAAACATAACAATATTTTTGATGCTTAAAGTGAAATAAACATTAACTGCTCTACGTTGTCAGCATATGTTGAAGTATTCTCGTTGTCTCTGAGAGAATATGCGGCGTCAGATGCCGAAAGCTCCGTCAT